AGAATAATTCAGTTCCCTGGGTGGGATGTTTGGAAAAGTGGGCGGCCCCTGGGCGGACGGGCCCAGCCGCCGGTTGAAATAAAGGTGGTACCAGCCCGCATCACCAAGACGGTGAGATCTTGGACAGCCCTGGTGTCCTGGTCCACCAGCATGGGGTCGATGAGGGGGTCCATGAGGTGGGCTATCAGGGCGGAGGATGTCATGACGGCGCCTCCAATAAGGCCGAGCGGAGGCGTGATGGATATTCCCTCTCTGTCTGCTGCTGCTCCTCCACATTCCTGCTGCTCCTCCTCGCGCCCACCAGGGGCCACAATGGCTAATGGGCCGAAAATCCTGAACCACCCGCGCGAGCAGCGTGCGCGCGCAAGCTCAGGAGCAAGCCTCCTGCCGCCGATTCAACGTGTTGCCTGGCTTTGACCCCGGGGCGTGGGATTTCGGCCAGCTGAGCGATAGACAGGTCGCGCCGCAACCCGTGACTATCAAAGCAGGGGCACCAGTATGACACACAAGCCGAGGAAACGGCGCAGGAGCTTGTCAACCAGTTCGGCCACACGCAGGGACGAGCCCTGACCTGGGTGACCTGGTGAGCGGCTGCAGGGGGACGCTGGGGGGGACAAATGCCGCTGTGAGCCTGCACGTCACTCCGGCGAATGGTCGTTCTCACGCGTGGCCGAACCTGGCACCCCCCTATGACGGGTACGGGAGCAGCGGGGCACGAGGTTTCACAGAAGCTGCTGCCCCAAAGCCGACAGCAACCGCGTCTGGGCAGGCGACGTCCTGTTCCAAAACGAACTACGTTTAGGTCGAGCATGTCCTCCTACAGGCTGATTTTGGACGAAAAATGAGAAGTATTCAAAACGTACTCCAAAATAGTCAAGGAATGCTGACAAATCGTCCCCAGACTATTGCTTTATCGTTTTTTCCCAACCCTCCTTGGTTGGGTATTCGTTTTGAATAGAGCAGTGTGGTCTCCACTCCTTCCTTCCTCCTCCTCCTCCCTCCCTGCCTCTTCCTGTCTTGCCTGCGGGGGGCTGCGATCTGTGAAACTGTCGCCGTTTTCGAGGCCTGCTGGGGGGCCCAGCACAGTGAGGGCGACCCGCAGATTCAAATTAGACCTCGCCATCCCTGGGGGGCTGCGATCTGTGAAACTGTCGCTATTTTCTAGGCCTGCTGGGGGGCCCAGCACAGTGAGGGCGACGCGCAGATTCAAGTTAGACCTCGCCATCCCTGGGGGGGCTGCGATCTGTGAAACTGTCGCCATTTTCGAATCCTGCTGGGGGGCCCATCACAGTGAGGGCGACGCGCAGATTCAAGTTAGACCTCGCCATCCCTGCGGGGGGCTGCGATCAGTGAAACAGTCGCCATTTTCGAGGCCTGCTGGGGGGCCCAGCACAGTGAGGGCGACGCGCAGATTCAAGTTAGACCTCGCCATCCCTGGGGGGCTGCGATCAGTGAAACTGTCGCCATTTTCGAGGCCTGCTGGGGGGCCCAGCACAGTGAGGGCGACGGGCAGATTCAAATTAGACCTCGCCATCCCTGGGGGGCTGCGATCTGTGAAACTGTCGCCATTTTCGAGGCCTGCTGGGGGGCCCAGCACAGTGAGGGCCACGGGCAGATTCAAATTAGACCTCGCCATCCCTGGGGGGCTGCGATCTGTGAAACTGTCGCCATTTTCGAGGCCTGCTGGGGGGCCCAGCACAGTGAGGGCCACGCGCGGATTCAAATTAGACCTCGCCATCTCTGGGGGGGCTGCGATCTGTGAAACTGTCGCCACTTTCGAGGCCTGCTGGGGGGCCCTGCACAGTTACGCCACGGGCATATTCAAACGAGACCTCGCCATCCCTTGGGGGCTGCGATCTGTGAAACTGTCGCCACTTTCGAGGCCTGCTTGCTGGGGGGCCCAGCGCGAGTGACGCCACGGGCACCTCGCCATTCAAAAGAGGCCTGCGACCTCCATCCCCTGGATCGCTGCGACTGTCCTGTCGCCACTTTCGGGCCTCTGGGGGGCCCAGCACAGTGACGCCACGCGCGGACCCAAATTAGACCTCGCCATCCCTGCGGGGCTGCGATCTGTGAAACTGTCGCCACTTTCGAGGCCTGCTGTGATCCCCGTTTTCGAAGTGGCTAGGAGTGCTCAGGAATTGTAACTCATCAGCTTTATCAAGACCTTTTCCTGTAGCCAGTGTCCTGCGAGTCTCCCGAACTCCGTCTGCAGACATATGTAATCCTCGCTCCGTCGTCGCCCCCTGATAAAGTATCCTAAACTATTTGCGCCCCGCCCGCTTTTGCGCAGGGGTTGGGTACGTCGCCAGGGTAATGAATATTATTCCTCCTGTACAGGGACATGCCCAACTTAAAACTACGTCCGCAGTGACACCGACAGCGGCCCGCTCAAGCCCCTCGGCATACTCGGGGCGGCGGACCAGCCCGCACGTGCAGACTGGAGCCCCCCTGGAGGGCGCTTGGCAACTGACCCTGGCTGCGTTCGCCCACGGGCCCTTCGGGGTGTCGTCGCTCGTGGCGGAGCGGTCACGGCCCCGCGGGGCCTGGCCATCGCTCGGGCGTCCATTCACTATGTTTTTTTCGACTTCGTGCGTAGCTTTTTCGCCAAATGATCAAGGATGCTCCTCAAGGGTCCTCGCCGAGAAAAAATACACACGTTCGAGCGATGCCAGGGGGCATTCACGGGGAACTTTCGCTCAGCGTGTCGCGGCGGCGGCGCCGGCGACTCGCTATGACACCTTGCAAGCGGATGGCGTGTCGCTCCGCTTCGCTGGGCGGGGCCGCTGGCAAAAGCTCGGGATGTTGACGCTCGGGGACCAGGACGTGGTTGGCGTGTCGCGCCGAAGCGCGGTGGGCCACTGGCGGCGCGACACGCTGGGCAGAAATTCCGAACCGTATTTGGGGAATCCAACCGGTAGTCCATCCATTCGTGCAGCGCTGGGCAGTGGCACGCTAGACACTTAGAAAAGAGGAGGGCGGCCGGGAGGGGGAACGGGGGGGGAGGCCTCAGCAGAGAAACTTTGCCACGAGGGAAGCGCACGGGCGGCCTCAGGCACCGACAACGGGTGTACTGGAAGGCGAGCGGCCAATGCGAGCTGCCGAAGGGGGGGCAGCGTAGGCAGTTACCCACCTCCTTGTCATCACTCGTCCCATCCAGGGGGGGAGGAGGAGAAGGAGGAGGAGGAGGAGGAGGAGGAGGAAGAGGAGGAGGAAAATCGAGGGAGGAGGAAGAGGAGGAGGAGGAGGAGGAGGAGGAAGGAGGAGGAGGAGGAGGAGGAGGAGAAGAGGAGGAGGAGAGGAGGAGAATAATCGAGGGAGGAGGAGGAGGAGAATCGAGGGAGGAGGAGGAGGAGGACGACGAGGAGGAGGACGAGGGGAGGGGGGCCAAATCATCGAACACGCTGCTCTCTACCTCCGTTGCGGAGCGCCCGCGCCGCGGGCCCGCTTTCGGGCAGCTGCCCCGAAGTGCCAGAAGTCTTGGGGGAGGTCTGCGGTCCCCTGGGCTCGCCCAGGCCTGAGCCGCTGCGCGGGCGCTGCTGCGTGGAGCGTTAGTCCTTCGCTTTCTCCTCCTCCTTCTTCCTCCTTCTCCTCCCTCTCCTCCTCCCTCTCCTCCTTCTTCTTCCTCCTCCTCCCTCCTCCTCCTCTCCTCCTCCTCCTCCTCCTCCTCCTCCTCCTCCTCCTCCTCCCCTCCTCCTCCTCCTCCTCTCCTCCTCCTCCTCCTCCTCCTCCTCCTCCTCCTCCTCCTCCTCCTCCTCTCCTCCTCCTCCCCTCCTCCTCCCCCTCCCCCTCCTCCTCCTCATCCTCCTCCTCCTCCTCCTCCTCCTCCTCCTCCTCCTCCCCATCTCCTCCTCTCCTCCTCCTCCTCCTCCTCCTCCCTCCTCCTCCTCCTCCTCCTCCTCCTCCCCTCCTCCCCTCTCCTCCCCTCCTCCTCCTCCTCCTCCTCCTCCTCCTTCTCCTTCTCCTTCTCCTTCTCCTTCTCCTTCTCCTTCTCCTCCTCTCCTCCTCCCCCTCACCTCCTCCTCCTCCTCTCCTCCTCCTCCTCCTCCTCCTCCTCCTCCTCCCCCTCCTCCCCCTCACCCCCCTCCCCGTCTCCTCCTCCTCCTCCTCCTCCTCCTCCTCCTCCCCCTCCTTCTCAAGCAAGGTGGCTGGGTACCCCGTCCCGGCCAGGGCGGCGTGCGCCCCCTCTCAATCTTCCACCAAGGCCCCCACGCCCTCGCCTCGCCTCGAGGCGGCCGCTTGCCGCGCACCTCGAGTTCTCGGGCCCACTCCGTCCATCCTCCTTCCTCGAAGAGTCCTCCTCTGCCTCCCTCTTCTCACCCCCCCAATGGGATCGCCGCGCTGCTGGGCAGCCCCCCGCCTTCGGAGTCGCCGCGACGCTGGGCCGTGATGAGACAGGCGGCCGCTCCGCCCATCAGAGTGCCGCTCGGGTGAGTTCAGCCTACTTTTTCTGCGCCGATCAGCTGGGCAGCTGGTTCGCTGAATTCCAAGCACGGCCGACCCTTGCAGCGCAGCCCACTGTCACAAGGCTGCTGGGCTGCTGGTCATGGGCACCGTGTGTGCCCCGAGCACGTGGTGCAGATTAGATCCGCCGCTCCCGCATGGCCTCGGCCCGCTCCTGCCAGGCAGCATCCACATCCCGCGGGCGTTCGGGAGGGACGGTGCGCCCACCGCACGTCACCGAGAACTATGCAGAGGTCCCCGTTCACACGAAGCCCCGACTGCCCCGTCCTCCACCCAACGGCGGTCTGCGCCCGACTCTGCGCTTAGGCACGAGACGGGCCAAATCATTCGGCCCACCGCTCCCGCGGAACATCCAGTCCCGCGGGCGCTGGGGACGGGGGGGCCGCCCACGGCGCGCCACCGGGAACCACGCGAGGATGGCAGACGCCGCGCGAGGTCCCGACTGCCCCAGCCTCCACTCCGCTCCGCGGCAGTCTGCGCGCGCCCCTGCGCTTAGGCACGGGGCAGCGCTGCCGAAGGGCAGGCGGAGCTGGCCGTCACTCGCTCTCGCCGTTGTCGTCGTCGCTGCTGAATTCCGCCTCGCTCTCCTCGCAGTGGTCGGGCAGGCACGCAGCGCGCGCCCAGAGGAAGCCCAGAGCCAGCGCGCGCAGCGGCGCGAGGGCGGCGGGGCCGCCGATCAGGGCCACGCGGAGGCCGCAGATGTCCACCGGGGGCGCCATCCTGCGCAGGAGGGGGTCGTACACGTGGGCGGCATCCCGCAGACGTCTGGCCGCCACCTGGCATCAAGACGGGCATGCCCCCCCTGCAGGCCGATTGTGGGGGAAAGAACAGAAGAGAGCCCAAACATACAGAACGAATGCTCGAACATGCTCAAACCATCGTCCCCTGAATAGTTGTTTCATTATTTTGGAATCTTCCTCCGGTGGAGGGACACGCCTGACTTAAGCAGACGTCTGGCCGCCACCTGGCAGAAGGCCCCCGGCTCGTTCGGGAACGGCGGGTCGCCCTCGCGGCGGAGCAGCAGCTGGGCCATCAGGGCGGCCTCCACGGGAGTCAGCATCCGCTCGTCCAGCAGGTCCAGCAGCCTTGTGAAGGTGCCACCCTCGCGCAGCCGGTGCAGCGCGGGGGAGTACGCGAACCAGCCGTTGCCCTGGCCCTTGATCTCACGGGCCTCCCCCACGATGTCGTCGATCACGTCCACTGGCAGCTCGAGGTCCCGCTCCACCTCGTTGTAGAACTGGACGGCGGCACTCCCGTCCGTGCACAGGCGGATCACCACGCTCACGGGCAGCATCAGCATCAACCGCCGCAGGGAATCCACGAAGCACGACTTGTCCGCTGGGGTAGTCCGGTTGCTGCACGGGGCGGTGGGCAGGCCGTCGGTGACAACCGTGAGGATCACCCGCTGCCCCCTCGCCACTAGGTCTGCGTGCTGCATGGACACCCTCGTGTAGATCTCCTCCACGCGCTGGCTCAGGGGCGTCACCCCGGTCGGGCCACTGGAATCCAGCATGCGGCGCAGCACGCCGAGCTGGTGCCGTATGCGCTCGCCGTGCCGCGGGTCCAGGCGCGCGTACCCGACGCCCTCTCGGAGCGGTGGTGGGCCGGGGTTCAGCAGCATGAACTCGCAGGGACAACCGATCCTGCAGTTCCACTCCGCCTGCTCAGCGGCCATGTGCTTGATCTCCTCCCAGCGGGTGCAGGCCTGCGCTGTCACGCGCCCAGTGTGGTCCTCCCTGAAAACCTTTCCGTCGTGGCTGCTGGTGGACCCGCTGTTGTCCAGAAGGTAAATCCGCAGGCCCACCTGCTGGTCCTTACGGCGCCGCTGATAAGGCACAAGGGAGCGACGCGAGGGGGGCGGCCTTCTGCAGGGGGAGTTTCTTGAGGGTCTCGGTGTGGCTTCTGCTGACGTGCTTCAGAAGCAAGGGCGGCTTCTGATCGGGCACGCGCTAGCATGGGTCGGGGATCCTTGGACATGGCACGTGGGCGCCAGGTCCAAGGATCAGGAAAGACCCCCCCCCCCGAAACATGGAGGCAACTGTCGCCTGATTTGGCGACGGACCGAAACTGGAACGGGACCCGTCGCTAACCCACGCACCATCATCCATGCTTGCGATTCCTCGATCTAAGAGGCCCCCTGCTTTCTCACAAACTCCGCCCCCTCGCCCCACCCCACCACCCCGACCAAATCCAGCGCGCAAAACGGACCCCAAACCCCCTTTCTGGGGTCCGTGTGTCCGTCCTGGCCGCGTCTGGCCATGACGACGAGCACCCCCAGAAGCGCCTAGAGACACCCCAAACAGCGACGGAACCGTCGACCACCCAGACATACTTAGTCACACGTTGTTCAGCAGCGTGGCTCCCCACAAGTCTGGGCCCCTCTTCACAAAACAAGGTTTTCATCCTGAGACGTTTGTTGGTGGTCCCGGGGCTTGCCGGGGGCCCATGGGGGCCGAAGATGGGCGAACATCCTCAGTCGCGTTTTTCCCCCAACGTGAAATATCGTTCTGGGGACCTTCCTGGAGCCGTTCCCTCCACTCACGCGTGTATGCTGTCGAATTTCCCAAATCGAATTTCCCAAAATCGATGGGAGGCGGGGGTCGGGCCAAGGTTCGGATTTCGCCGCGTGTTTGGCGAATTCCGAACCCTACCCCCGCCGTCCATCGAGTTGCCTGAATCGATGATTGGCGAGGGTCGGGTTCGGATTTCGCGGCCGACTTTGGGGGCGCACGACGTCAGAGGCCGCTGTTGGGCAGGCGGCCTTCTTTTTCAAATGGACAAAAAGACCGGCGACGCCAGCAGCGAATCCTGGGACAAAATTGGCAGGAATCGCTGTCGGTCCTCGTGCCCGTTCTTCTAGTGCCCACTTCGAACGTACCGATGTTTCATAGCGAGAGCAGCGGCGGTCCGACCTCCCGAGGATGCTGCGTCGAACGTGCGCCGATTCGAGTCGAACTTGATCTGGGCTTGAGGGGCCGAAGTTTTGGACGCCCGAAATGGGTACGGAACAAAACGGGTGCAATGCCCAACAACAAATGTTGTCCAAAACCAACAGCGGCCGCTGTTGGGCAGGCGGCCTTCTGTCTCGAATGGACACAGGCCGCGGCGGCGTGGCCAGCGAATCCTGATCAAACTGAACAGGAACTGCTGTTCGGCATTGTACCCATTCTTTCCGTACCCATTTCGGGCGTCCAGAGCAGTGGCCTCGGACCAGCGAGGCTCGGGCCGGCGCCGGAAACACTCAGCGGGGGCCGGTCTCCTCGTGGAGGACGAGCTGCTCCAGGCGCGGCGGCAGGCCGAGGCCGAGGCCCGGCCCGCCGCGCGCCTCGCCGCCCTGCGGCCGCGCGGCGTCGCGCACGAGGCGCCCGGGCGGGTGCGCGGGCAGGGCGGGGGCGCCGCCTGCCACGAGCGGCGGGCGGCACACCGAGGTGGCCGCTGGGGATGTGCTAAGGGGGCTGCGTCGGTGGCCGCTGCACATTTCCAAAGGTGGCTCGCGGAGCTCTGCTTGAGGAGGCTCTGGCACAGAAGTGGCTGTGAGCAGGTTGCAAGCAACCCGTAGCTATATGGTGCGTGGGTTGTGAGTGAATTGCAGGTGGGCGCGGCTACGGATACTGAGATGGCCGCTGGGGCTGCTAAAAGATAGGGGGCTTAGAAGCGAATGCGGAAGTGGATGATGCCTGCCTAACCTAGCTTATCAGCTAAGTTCGGCCTGACATAACCCATCCCCTTAGCAACCGCCGCGGTCATCCCAATATCTGCATCCGCGCCCTCGCAGTCTGGATTCCGGAGCGCGATCTCGCGGATACGCCGTCACACGGGTATATATTCCGCGCAAGGCGCCCGCGAGGAAGACGACCCGCATCCGCGGGGTCGCGGTCCAAAGACCCGGCCCGCGAGGCCGCGGATCATACGGACACGTTTTTTAAAATACTTTTTTTTACCAGCGCAGACGGAGCCCAGTGGCACGACGCGACAGACGAGCGGCGGATCATACGGACACGTGTTTCGCTTACGAGCCTGGGCGGAGCGGTTGGGCGGCCTCGCGCGCGGCAGGGCCGCTGGCGCCGCTGCCCTGACGGGAGGGCAACAGAACACCCCCTGAAGTCCCTGCGTCGCCATTGTTGAACATTCGGCCGCGCGTCGGGCTCCGAGGCCGCCCTCACGGATCGATCCGGCTCGAACGGTGCCGCAGGAAGATGGGGTCCGGGGCTGTCTGTTTGTTTGAGGGCGTTGTGATTTTCTCGCGACGTCGGGGACGTTGGGTCTGTCGTCGTGAAGAATCGCGGCGGAGTGTTCTTGTTGCGCATCTTGGGACTCTGGGGGCCCTCGCCCGGCCAGACTGCCGGACAACGACCGAGGATGAGAAGCCCGTCCCGGGGAAGGGGCCCAAACCTCTTGGGAGCGAAACGAAAACGCGAACTTCGCACGCGCACCGCATCCTGGCCACGGCCACCACCCTGAGCCGCTCAGCCCAGAACTGGTGCACGCGCCCCCCTGTCTCTGCGCAGATCGTGGGCCCAGGATGGGCCTGGCCGGGGTCGGTGCGCGCGCCCACTCTCTTGGAGAGGACCGCGGGTGTATCGACACGGCCACTGCCCCGACCTGTCCTGGGGTGCTGCCCGACCAGCATCTCGAGGCGGAGCCGGCCGTGGCGACGAGGGCCTCCCAGGAGGCCCGAGAAGGCGAAACGGAGGCAAGGGTACAGGGCAATTTTTACGACATGGGATTTTCTAGAATATCGGATTCTTAATACATGATCAATGTATGAATAAATGTATGCCTCGTTGTTTTTACTACGAAGCCCTTCATTTTTTAGACATGATCCGCACGCGGAGCATGTATTAAAAACGGCACGGTAGCGGCATCGCTGCCTCTCCGCTTCCTTCTCGCCGCCCGACCTGCTCGGCGTGCTCCCGGAGCACGTCGGCCAGGGCGAAATTGGCCCGCACGTCGCTCTGCGCGAAGGCGTGCCGGCACGTGGGGCAGGACGGCCTGGCGCCCGCCGCGGCCGCGGTGGCGCAGAGCTGCTGGACGCAGGCGCCGCAGAAGGTGTGGCCGCACCTGGGCACGCTCGGAGGTGGAACTGACAGAACGGGAGCGTTGCCCAGCCTTCTCCTCCTCCTCCTCCTCCCTTCCCTCTCCTCCTCCTCCTCCTCGTTCTCCGCCTCCTCCTCCTCCTCCTCCTCTTTCTCCTCCTCCTTCTCCTCCTCCTCCTCCTCCTCCTCCTCCTCCTCATCATCATCATCATCATCATCATCATCATCATCATCCTTCCCTCTCCTCCTCCTCCTCCTCCTCCTCCTACCTCGTTCTCCGCCTCCTCCTCCTCCTCCTCCTCTCCTTTCTCCTCCTCCTTCTCCTCCATCCTCCTCCTCCTCCTCCTCCTCCTCATCATCATCATCATCAGCAGCAGCAGCATCATCACCCCCCTTCTCCCCCTCCACCCTTCCCCCTCCTCCTGCTCGTCATCCTCCTCGACAACCCTGACGTCCTCCTGCTGATTCGAAGCAATCCCGACGGGGAGGTTTTCCAAGCTTCAAGCCTCTGGGGCGGGGGCCCCCGCTGGGCCCGGGGGACCTCTCGGGATGAGGAGAACAGCCTGTGGGAAGTAGAAGTGGTCCAGATCTCTGGGGGGCCGCGTTGGAAAAAACGACGGAGGATGTATGAGAATGCCCGGCAGCGAATGCTGTTGGGCATCCCGCAAGTGGCCGCTGTCGGGCAAGCGACGGTCGTCCCAGGTGGACAGCCCCGCGTCGACACCGACGGTGAGAGTCCTGTTCAAAAGTGTGCAAGGTCCGCTGCTAGACTTCGTCATCGTTCTTTCCGTACCAGTTCGGATTCTCCAGGGCACCCTGGCAGCACACGGGGCTCATGGAACCTCTCAAGGCAGATCGGGCACTGCAGGAGATCGGCAGGCATCCTGGATGGAGCCCGCGGGGACGACTGAGCCCACGAGCAGCACCTGCAGCCCGACGACTTGAGCCAGACAGCTGGGGTCCGCCTCTGCTTCCTGCACCGTGTTCCTTACAAATAAACCTTCAATGTTGCGCCACCAAGCGCGTCCTTGGGGTGGGCCAGGCGATTCGCCTGAGACTTCTTCAACGTCTATGGTAAGGAAGCCTGAAGTGGAACCGAATTCTATACACAGACGCTTCTTCCGGCCCCTCACTGAAACACACACAAATGAGCGGATCCTGGTGTATACGGGATGCTGGTGTATACATGTGTCGTTGCTTCCCCAGGAAACGCGAAACAAGTATACACCACACCACCCCGACTCCCCGACCCTCAAAAAGTTCTGGGATTGAAAAACTGCCCGCCACTGTTAATGTATACGTTCTTGTTCCCGATGAAGTACCGAGCAGCTACACGCTCGGTCGTGGCGTGACGCACGCTCATCTAACAAGTCCAACAAGTGCAAGTTCGGTGGCAACTCATGGGAGCCTCCCATACCATCTTGTCGGCTCTTGCAAATCGACCCGAATCGACGCTGAATCAGCGCTAATCGACGCTAAATCGGCGCTATCTCATCGACTCCCAGACGATAGTCGACGCTAAAGACGGAATTAAGAGGGTATTCCAGGCTCCCATGGTTTACTATCGAATACAAAGGAGGCAGACGGTTTTCAAAAAGGGGGCTCTTGCATTGGCGCCGCGTTCGTTCGTCAACCAGGTACCCCACAGCTGCAAAGATGGAGGGGAAACAGATTTCGACATGTGGCTCTCGCCGTCGCGCCGCGCACACTCAACTCAAACAAATCGTCCAGCTACCTGGGTGAAGGGCGGAGAGGTTTCAACATTGGGTTCTCGCATGCTACTTCCTCACCTCGTATCACCACAGAACATAATTAGTTTGCAGCAGTTGCACAGGGGGGTGAGGCAGCTCCTTTTTCCCAACTTACCCGTCGGTCGTAAGAAGTGGGCAGACACATGAAGTATGAAGACGTTGGAAGTAGATCGGGTTTCCGCCCGCCCCCCTACAGAGGAGGGAAGAATGCAGAACACTCGATGATTGAAGTAGGAAGGTGTCTAGAATACTTCCAACGACCGACGGGCAAACTTTGCCTCGGGTCTCTTACTGTGTTTGAAGAACCGGTGGGTACTGGGCCTGCGCCAGTCGGCGGTCCCCGGGGTTCCCTGGTTTTGGCTCCCGACTGCCCTCCTCGGGTCCCCTGGTCTGGGCTCCTTGGTCCATTGCTCCCTTGGAATTGCTTCCTTGCTTCCTTGGAGCCTGCGTCTTGGTTCCTGGGCTCCCTGGTCTTGGTTCCATGCCCCATTGGTAATGATTCCTTCGTTCCTTGGTACTTGTTCCCTGGTTCCTTGGTCTTGGCTCCTTGGTTCCATGGTCCTGGTTTCTTGGTCCTGGTTGCTTCAGTCCTTGGACTTGGTTCCTCGCCGCCTCGCCGCGCCACGCCAAGTAGTGCTAGACAATGCAAAGCAACGCCACGCAAATCACAGCAATGCCAAGGCATGCTATGCAACGCCAAGCAACGCCAAGCAACGCCAAGCAACGCCAAGCAATGCTGAGCATTACCAAACAAAGCCCTGCAACGCCAAGCGATCTGCCAGGCCATGCGAAACAATACCAATCAATGCCAAGCAACGTCACGCAAAACACCCATGCAATGGGAAGTTTTCTCCTGACTGGGTCACGATGGGCCCATCAACATGGAACTTCCGTTAACACCTCTTCCTAGTGAATCTCCATGGTCGCAGCCACAACCGAAAGACAAGGTATGTTAGCCAGCGTGGACGCAAAACGGTGCGCTATTGCACAGTGGAGGTGAAATCCACGCGGCGTCAGCTATGTGGTGAAAGCTATGCTGCGCAATCTACGTCTGTGATTTGAGCTGGGGTGAGAAACAAGCGGTGTAAGCTACGATATGCAAGCTATGTCGCGAAAGCTACGATCTGTAATAAGGAGTTTGAACTAGAGCAAGCTGAAGGGTGTGGGCTGTGTGATGTAGGCTACTCTCGCGGCAGCTATGTGCTGTAACACCATGTGATGTGGTGAAGGCTACACGCCCTTCATTTCTAGTTGTGGTCATATCTAATTGCGTTCCTTTCTAGTTGTTCCTGGCCCCCTAGTGGCCAGGAAGAGGCGCAGGACAGAACAATTAGAAACGAAAGGATCTTGCCCCCCCAAACATCGAGGAGTTGTCGAAGGATTAGACATGAACAACGTATGTGTGTGTGTGTTGGAACACCATGTGATGTGGTGAAGGCTACATCGCCGTGACGAAAGTTTCTGTCAATTTGCCTTTTGGAATGACGCGCTCGTGCGGAGTAGTTCGGAGTAGTTTTACTAAAACTACTCCGCGCGCAATCGCATCCCGCTCGATAATTCGTATGGTTTGGCGCGTAGTTTCCGATCCCGTTTTGGGGTAACAGAATTATTAACGTCTCCGGGATCGGAAACTACTCCGCCGAATGACCCCAGCATTTTGTCATGTTAGGAATCTTGAGAGGGATGGGAGAGATCTTCATCATAGCAAATTGAAGAAACTGTTGTCACGGCTGCGTACGTCATGCCAACCCAGAGCACGGGGCGCCCGCGACGCGGCACAGGCGGCAGCGCGACGCAACCTCGGCGCACCCCCCAAACGAACGGGGCGCCCACGAGGCGCCCACGAGGCGGCCACGAGGCGGCCACGAGGCGGCAGCGTGGCGCGCCCTCGACATACAGTCGGACTTCCGTGGACAGAGGAGGAAGGAGGAGGAGGAGGAGGAGGAGGAGGAGGGAGGAGGGAGGAGGGAGGCGGACGACGAGGTGTCGTTTTCGGCCTCCTCGGGACTCTTGGGGGCGAGGCTCGCCCCCAAGCTTTTCGAACCACGACCTTCGCGAAGACCACTTCGCACGAGTGCGGAGCTACAGTCGGACTTCATTGGACAGGATCCGCGAGAGGACACGAGACCCTTTCCGAGGGCCACAGTCCCACAGGAATGCAGGAGGCACGGGCCGCGAGACACAGGACGCAAAAGTGCCCTCGATTGGGCAGGGTCGACCTGCTAGTCCGGGCCGACTGTACCCCCCCGAAGCGCGGGGCGACCACCTAGGCGCCCACGAGGCGACACGGGCCGGAACGTGGCAGGGGAACAGTTAACCGACTGCGAAGAGCAGTCAGAGGCCCTGCGTGCAAGCACTGCCTAGCGAAGAAAAAATGCAAGACGATTTCGCCCGACGACATCTCAATGGCGCTGCCGACAGCAAAATGCGAAAACGGTATCTGCCCTCCGCCGTTGGAAACGCGGGCGGATGCGCGCCATGGCGAAGTCACCGATACGACGACATTGAGAGGCGGATGCCACTTACTGCCAGGATGTTCACGAAAGTTGAGTTCAACGCCTGCCGCAGTCAAGGCGGGTTGTACACTCTGCCTTGCACCTTCGTTCCCACGATTCAAAGTCCGCCATGCACTATGCAACGCTTTCCTCAGGGAGTGACGTAACACTGGCAGGCGGATGCTGCTTCAGGCGCCAGGTCCCGCCTGCATTTCTTCCACTGCGTGTTGACATCCGCACCCGTGCCGCTTATGTTAAAACCTTGCTCCGCGGGCATGTGCATGTCGCATGGTGTAACAGCTGCGCGGGGGGGGAGGGGGGGGGCGATGCCTGTTCAACGCGGGGCCGCTGCTTAGCATTTAGGCAGCAGTCGCTCGACAACAGCTCGAAGGACAGGGGGCAAGCGTTATAAAACGGAGCCACGAGGGCCCTCGTCTTCAAAGGGGAGCGCATGCCGCAGTGAACAATGCTGCTTGTGAGGTCGAATCGGGGATTTGCTAACCGGGTCAATCAGACCCGGGTCAGGAGGAAACCAAACAACTGCAAAGCAAGAACAACAAAAAACTGCAACGCAGGGCTTCGCAAACCCGGGTCAGCCAGTATGGCGGCCGCCTCGCGGCCACGAGCAGCTCGCTAACCGGGGTCAGCCAGAGGGGGTCTTCGAAGGATCCTGCAGGACCCCCTTCTCGCTCATCCGCGCTCCTCATCCTCTTCCTCTTCCCCCCTCCCCCTTTGACCTCTTATCTCTTTCTCCTCTCACAACTTCCCCCCCCCCTCTGCTTATCCTCCTCCTCCACCTTCTCCACCTCGTCCTCCTCCTCCTCGTCCTCCACGTCCCCCTCCCCCTCCTCCTCCTTGTCCTCCTCCTCCTCCTCCTCCTCGTCCTGCTTTTCCTCCTCCTCCTCCCCATATAGCGTCCCTTTTGATTCCCCACCTCGCTCCTCACTTCCCCCTGCCCCCCGACTCCTTTTTCCATGCTCCCTCCCCACCCTTCCGTTTCCAAGTCCTCCAGCCTGCGTCGTCCTTCCTCCGAGCCCTGTCGGATCACGACGTAGTATTGCTTTGTTGTGTAAGTCTTCTGGTTTCGATCGAGGATTGATGTGTTCCCTGCCCCTGACCAGAGGAGCGTACCTGCACCCTGCTGTCGCTCTCGCGAGCGACTTGAAATCCAATCTACGCTGCCTGTACCTATGCGGAAACTCTACCTACATGCGATGTTCATATTATTACGCAACGGGCCTGCAACTTATGCAACGGAAAACCTGCACCATAATGTTCGCCTAGCTAGCTTGGATGCTCGCTTGGGGGGCCTTCCTGAAGCTACTCGCTCCAATCATGCGTGGATGTTGCGTCGAACGTCCGTCGACGCGAGTCGAACTTGCGTCGAACTTGAGCCGAGCTCAAGTCGAACTAGAGACGAACTAGAGTCGACCAGATCCGTTCGCTTAGGAATTCCCCCCAAAACAAACATCTGAAATATGAGCGCGTTGAGTTCAGCTTGCTACCTCGGATTGTTCGGGTCCGAAGGTCCGCCGCCAGCCCTCCTGTCCGCGGAGAAGAAGCCGACCGACCCCAGAACGGCCCCCACGACCAGGAACCCGACGCCCACGAATATGAAGGGCACGCTCGAGTCGCCCGCGGGTGCGCTCGGGTCCTCTCTGAGGGGGGGCGACAGGGAGGGACTGGCTCACGGGGGGGGAAGCATCGGCATGTAAGCGGCATGGGCGATGCATCGTCGATGCATCCGCGATGGGCGCTCGATCGCGAAACCGCGTGTTCCTGGCAGGGGGGGGGGGCAATCGGCATCAGGCCTCTGTCGGCGATGAGTGGGCGATTCGGGGTCGATGCGCATCCCCCCCTGAGCCCATCGCCCCTCGCGCTGGATCCAAAATCTCCGCGCGGCGCTTAGGAAACTTGTGTTTGTGTCGTTCTCTCATCCTCGGCTAAAACGTTGCCCCCGCTCCTTCGGAGCCTCCACGGGGGCCACGGGCGCATTGAACTTGATCCTGCTGTACCTGGAGGGGAAGAACACGTGGACCACGACCAAGACCGGACGCGGAAATGTCGCGTCGATCTTGGTCACCGTCGACCTTAGTCAGCGTCAGTTCCTGGACCATCCTGGCAAATCGGCGGCGGTCGATCGGCATCGACTAAATCCCGCGATATACCAAGACCCCCGACGTCGTGATTGTGTTCGCAACGTCGACCCCCAGAGGTCTGGACCCCTTCCCCGGGACCTGTTTTTCATCCTGAGCCGTTTTCTGACGGTCCCGAGGCTGGGCAGGGGCCCCCCGAGGCCGAAGATAATGGAAGGCCTCCCGTCGTGATTTCTTCACAGCGCGAGGGGTTCTGGTCGTGGTCGTGATCCCCCTCTGGGCTTCTTGTCTTGGGTTATGGTCTTGGTCTTGGTCTGGGGGTTCTTCTGGTCTTGGGTTCTGGTCTTGGGTTCTGATCTTGGGTTCTGGTCTGGTCTTGGCTTCTGGTCTTGGGCTGCGTGATCTCTTCACAACGCGAGGGGTTCTGGTCTTGGGTTCTGGGCTCCCTCCTCGGAACACCCCTCGTAGCCGTCCTCGACGGCGCGCGCCAGCGCGGGCCCCCCGAGCCACGCCGCCACGGCGGCGGGGGGCGCCCACCTCGGGGGATATCCGAGGGGGGTGGCCACGGAGGAGCGGTGGGCCAGTCCCTCGGGCGTTGCTTCGATGGGGGAGCGGCACAGGTCGTGGCGTTGACCTGTCAGGGACGAGGAGGAACCCCTTCCTTAAGGTTTAGCTTCGATTTCCGATCGAGAGAACCGAAGGACAACCCATGGCAAGCTGTAAAACAACTAACGAACACGGAGCCCCTCCCAAACGAGAAGGGTTCCTTCTTCAGCGCTCCGATTGTAAATTGGGGGGGGGAACGTGCACCTTTCGTGCCTCTTTTGGGCCCCAGGAGGCCCCTGCAGGGTACTTTCGTCACCCCCACCCCATGACGCAACGCCCGAGTCTCGACCCGTTCCCCTGGGCCGGCCCTTTCCCGCCGAGTCGGGAGAGCCGCTGAACGTTCGGCTTCGGCGTGTCTGCTTGCATGGAGGAGGGGGGGGGGCATGTGGACATCACGCAGACTGGGCCTCGCTTGCGCGACTTTTCGGCCCAACGCTGTCAGAACAGGCGGCGGAGGGGGTGGGGCGGGGGGCCAGAGGCCCTTGCCCGGATCAGACATCCAACGCCACCTCGTCACCTGTGCCCGGCAAGGGCCCCCGCGGACCGACAACGTCGAAAAACCAGAGCTCGGACGCTTCAAATCACCAGCCCTTCCCACGAGATCCGACGTCGCGAACAAAACTACAACGTCGCAAGAAACAAATCGGCGGGAGCCCTGGACCCGATATTTCCTCTGATTTGTCGAACCAGATCGATCCGTGAGGGCTCCAGGGCTCGCCACGAGGCAAACCGCCTGTGGATGCCAGCGACGCAAGGATTTTGACGCCCGAGAAACAACAATTACGCGACCGAGGAGCACCACAAACTTAGTGTAAATATTGCATGTGGGCGTGCGTCTCATGTCAATGCCGCGTATGTGTCTTGTTTGTATATGTGCTGTATGTGTGCTGTCTGTATGGGTGCTGCGTGCACGGCTGTATGTGGCCGCGTGTCTCATGTCAATGCTG